CCAGGTCCAGTGTGTTTCATAACTTTTTTTCATTGGTCCTATTGGCATCTGAACATCTCCATTTTCATGTGCTACTATCAGTTTGTAAGAGCGGAATATGTTGTGAAATTTTTGACATAGGAGACCTGTAGTCTGGCTTTGGCAGCTATAAGGTTTGGTTTTGTCACCTGACCAAGTTGGTCCAGATTTTTGGTCTACCCATATAAAATTTTTGACGTTAGGTAGCCTAATCAGGGAAGTAGCTGAACTACCCAATGTTGTGCAACACTGGCCTATGAATCAACCAAAATATTTGATGATCTACTAAAAGTTTGTGCCCTAACAGGTTGTGCTAGAACCACTTATGACCTCCATGAAAAGTTTGAGGATGCTGCATGTGGAATTAAAACACAGGATTTGATTGCAATATCGCCTTGGTTTGTCACCTGGGAAGGGTCCATTACTATGTCTGTTTTTAACACAAAGGAAAAAAATTGCTTCCATTGTCTTTACCTGAACAAGGGACAGTCCTTCATCTTATAAAGAGGTTTTTCCTGGCTGATTGAACTCACCAGAAGGAAAGGTAGAGTGACATTGTTTCTCTGGTCATGGATATCATACACTTCCATTTATCCATCTTCCACAGTTGGTCCACCAGGTGCTCACACTGGAAGAAATGAAAAATAGTTAATATTGTTCATGCTATCTAGATGTTGACATAACCAGCAATCAGAATGTTTAGTTAACCAGGACTTGCAAAACTGGTGTAAGGAGGTGTCAGGTTTGTGCTTGACCTCTTAATAAAATAGTAAGGCTAAGATGAGAGAGAGATACAGTTGAAAGACAGACTGTAGTGGAGGGCCAGAGGGACAGTAGGATAGATTAATGTCAGTAATCTTCAGGCAGCTTTTCGATAAATGGGGGGGGGAAAGTTAGTTATTGTTTAAAAAAGAGGTCCCCCTTTCAGGGAGGAGAGAGACTCAAAAGGGGAAAAATAGATGGAAACAACATTCTCCATCTGTGATCTTGGGAAAGCTGTCTACTTTGTGATGTCATCTTGCTTCTAGAGCTTGCTTCAGAGCTTTGGAATTAGCTCTGAAATCCTTACTATGAAGTCACCTGTAAGGATGGTCTTCCAGTTGTCCTAGGAGTGATGATCTGGATCTAGCTTTATGTGGCTCACATGAATCCAAGAAGATTTTTCTTTTATTATGATGGTCATGTAGGTGTAGCAATACTTCATAGGCCTTTCCCAGCGAGGTAACAGTGCATGCTTTCTTCTAAAATCTTGATGCAAACCTATCTTTTGGTTAAAAAAAAAAAAAAGGCAAAGTTTGTCTCAGTCAATGGGAAGGGTTGTCAGTCATACCTTTATTACTTGCTGATGATATGATCCAAGTATATTAGTTAGCTCTTGTATATAGCTATTCATAACATCAAATTGTTCACTAAAGTTCCCATAATGTTCACTCAATCCAGGAATACAATGTTTTGAGATGCTGGTAGATATAGGGTGTCCAAAAACTGTAAAAGAGATTATTCTATGTCTCTTATTTGGAGAATTCCAGAATTTTTAAGGGCCAAAGTTAATGGCTTTAGCCATTTAAGTCCAATTTCTTGAAAGATTTTTTCTTAAAGTTTATTCATATTGAGAATTTTATGTTACACTTGTTCTGGTGGTTAAGGATGGTATGAAATTTTAATGAGTATTCCACAGTTTTTGTGAGAAAGTGGTTAATTTATGCTAAAAAATGAGTTTCTTGCTCTGATTGAATGTATAAAGGAATGCCAAAATGAGGAAAATCTCAGCAATTAATTTCTTTGCCACTATCATGGTGTCAACATATGTGGTTGAATGGAATTTAGTTTATCCACTAGATATGCAGACAATAACCAAACAGAGGAATAGCCTAAAGCTGGAAGTAAATCTCTAAAATCCATTTGGAGTGTCATTAGGTGCAGTGTGGGCCTTGGAAGATTCCCTAAGTTATGTTGATTTCCTCCAGAGTGAAATTTACAAGTAGTGCATTGGGAATTAATCTGGTCAGAAATTTGTGAATGCCGGGGCAGAACAAATTATCTTTTAGTTCCTTAACTATCCCTAACTGCACATATGTCCCATCTAATGGTAGATAAATGCAAGCCAAAGGGTCAAGGTTAAGTGGACTGTAGGAAGTCTATGTGGCCCAATGCATAATCTATTTGAAAATTGTTTGGCACTCATCTGTATTGATTTATTTTTTTCAGATTGTAAGGCATTTGCCTGATTGTCAATAATATCAGTTAAGGATAAGGAACATCTTTTAAGATTGCCATCCTTTTCACAGGAGTTTAAATCGAGATAGCTTTTCATTAGAGAAGGGAGGAAGTTTGAGGTTTGGTCCGAAGGTGGGAAAATAAGAACATCATTATAATTACTCTGTATCCTCTCAGTGTCACTCCCTTTGTCCTATGTCACTTCTCAGTCTTGAGGGGTACAGAGATACCAACCACCATGGCTTTTTCCTGCTGAATTGGGGAAAAGATTGCTGACTAGGATATGAAGAGAGAAAGTATATAGCATGGTGCTTGAGATATTCATGAATCCCAGGCCTGGTGCCATAGTTCCCAACCGTCATTATAATAGTTGCTTTTGTCACTGCTTTCTTATAAGATTTTAATATATATTTGGCTATAATATAAAATATGAGTAAAATTAGCAAGACTGACATGTCTAACTTTAGCAATCCAGAAAGCATGGACTGGATTTCATGAGAAATCCTTGAAAACAAAGAAGAAAACCAGTCAGGGAGATTTGTTGTCAGGAAAGGACTCAGAGTTTAGTCCAAACTATAGGCAAATAATTAAAACTCAAAAACAATGAACAAGGATAGAAT